TTATCCTTCCTCCCTCACATCCGGTCCCTCACCAGCACCGCTTTCTTCCACCTCTGACACATCACCCGTCTTCGCCAATACCTTTCTCTGAAAACAGCTGAAACCCTGGTCCATGCCTTTGTTACCTCTCAGCTGGACTATTCTAATGCCCTCCTCGCTGGTTTCCCCTCCACTACCATCCATAAAATCCAAATTATTCAGAACTCTGCCGCCCGCATTCTCACCTGCACCAAACTCCGCTCCCCGATTACCCCAGTCCTTGCCAGACTGCACTGGCTGCCTATCTCAGAGAGAATCAACTTCAAGATCCTCACACTTGTCTTCAAATCCCTCCACTCCTCTGCACCCCCCTACCTCGCTGATCTCTCTCCTTAAAACAGTGCTCATTGCCTTCGTTCCTCTGGGTCTGGCCTCCTCCTTGTCTCCCGAGTCCTCCGCTCCACTCTCGGCGGCCGTGCCTTCAGCCACTATGCTCCGAGGCTCTGGAACTCACTTTCTTCGTCTCGCTCCCTCTCTTCTTATGTTCAGGTCTCTGCTGAAGACCTTTATTTTGACCGCACCTTTGGTCACCTTCCTCCCCCTCCCCCGGCTCAGCCCCGGGATCCGTTACTGTGAAGCGCTCTGAGACGCCGTCCAGCTTGGAGGGCACTATGTAAATCCAAGTTGTTGTTGTTAATATTACAGCAGCATAAGATTTCTCACCCTTTCAAACTTTACAATGTTTACATTCTTCCTCCTCTTGACTTCCAACCTCCATTCTGGCCAACTAAAATAAAACCAAGATTGATTGACATTTTCACTCACTAGGTGCAACCAAGCTAATGTTCAACCTGTATTCCTCACCAACCCAGGAAGGGCTGATTCATGCTCAGATGAGTGGCTCGCAGGGAGTTCGTTGTACCTACCATCCACCTAGTGAGGGCTCAAACACGCGCTTGTTGGAAGTCGAAAGACAACTAGTGACTATTCTGCTTGGGGGGAGGTAAGTGGAGTCTCCTTGGAGCTGAACTGGCTCCGAGGTGACGTGCATGGCAATAGAATGTCAGAATCAAGCAGCCCTCTCTGCTGGTCTCGGTAGTCCGGTTCCTGAGCCAGGTGGGTGCACAGTATTCCAGGGCACTGCTGATGACAGCACAGCCAGCCTGGTTTAGCAGCTCAGCAGGACTTGGAAGGGCAGACCAGTCACTGGGGACAGGGAATCACCCCACTCAGCTCCTGTTAGCCCTGCAAGCCAAAGCCCCAACGGGAAGGGTTGTCCTAGCTGAACAAGCAGCGAGAAAGCTTGCTGGACAGCAATACCAATGGCAAGCTATGCGGTTTTAGCTGGTTAGACTCCAGCAGTACCCCATCACACTATGGGGTTCCCAAGCCTTGACTTTTGCCAACCTGTGTCTAATGCTTTCTGGAATTAGTTAAGCAGGATATGTCCCTCCAGGGAGAGAGTGTGCATTCCATTTCAACAATCTATCTCTGGGATTTCCATGTTTTGGTGAGATTCATGGAAATCTCAGCTTGGTTTGGATACTCTTAAGCATGGTGATGGGTTTCCACATGTGTCAGACACACGGCTGACCAAAACAGGGCTGTTGAGCCCACCAGAACCTGTGCAAGCCTTGGCTGAATAAACCTAACTGTAGTGCTCAAAGTGTTGTAAATTATAACTGAATACTGATGAACTCTTATTAAAATGCAAGACTGAGCTTTCTGTTAGCTGATCAAGCAGGAGAAGCCTTATTAATTTTAACAAGCAAATTTGTCACATGTTTGAGAAACTCAAAGGATGTGAAAAAAATTGGATTATTTTCAAGCTTATTTAATTGGGTTTCAACCGGACAGTTGCACTTGTTACTAGCCAATTAGTCATCGTAATTATCATGTTTATAAAATTGCTACTGATGTATAGCAGTAAGAATATTGAAGATTTTGACTTTTTGAAAGTTTCTTCACTGAGCTGATCCTCATTTCCCTGTACATCTCAAGTGAAGATGAATATGTGTGTATGAGCATGTCAGCCTGGAGTAGTGGGTGCACTCTCGCCTCTTGAGTCAGAAGGCTGTGTATTCAAGTCCCACTCGGGACTTGGAATTGCTTAGGTTAAGCTGACACATCAGTGCAGTGCTGGGGGACTGGGTTGCATTGTTGGTGGTACCATCCTTCAGATGAAATGTTAAACCAAAGTCCCATCTGCCTGTTCAGGTGGATATTTAAGATCACATGGCAATATTCAAAAACAAAAGGAAGTTTCTCTTGGTGTCCTGGCCAACAATCCCTTGAATAAAATTGGTCACTCTCTCCATGGCTGTTTGTGGGACATTGCTGTACACAACTGGCTGCTGAGGTTCACTCACAAAATACAATCACTCCACTTTACAGAATATCCTGTTAAGCACTTTGAGACGTATCCAAGATGTGCTAAGGTGCTACATCAAATGCCAGGATTATTATACAGCAACTGAATCAAATTATTTTTTAAACTTTCAGCAAAACCGCCATCCACCTCTCTTTTCAAGTTCCCAGAACAGACAAAATAGATGCAGTGAGATGAAAACATACTCTTGGGAAAACAAGAAGACTTGTTAGCTGTAGCAGGGTCTGTTGGATAATGTAGATTGATTTGGATTGCCAGATGGCAACAATAACAACTTGCATTCATAAAGCACCATTCACAGACTTTTGAATAATACTATTGATTCAAATCGTCTGTAATTTAATTTAAATCAAATTGTTGACTCGGAAATTTGTGAGTCTTTGTGTAGTCGGGACCACGAGATAATCAACTCACAGACAGTAAAAAGTAACTTTTACAACTTTATATAGCAGTATGCAGGATATAGAAAGGTAGAATTACCCATCTGAAGATCAGAATATTCAGTTGTAGAAGCTTTCTTCTTTGTATCTTCTTCGTAGTAGTTTCAGCGACTACATTTATATCCTCTTGTTTGTTTAACTCTTCCTTTAACTCTAACCATTTAGTTTATATAACAGATGCCACTTCCTTGATTTTATCTTTTCATCTCACAAAAAGCCTCTCAGTAAAACATTCCTTCTCACCTTGAATGCAATTTGATTCCATTAGTAAAAACATGGACTTTGATGAGGAAAGACAATTTTGCGCTAATAAAAAGAGTGAAATGAGAAAAGGAGTCTCAAATTTCTCCCATTAGGATCCCAAGGCCATCCCATTATCACATACCAACACTGTTTCATAGTTTTACCTCTCAAGACAAGTACCATCTGATGGTGCACCCCATCTCCTCATTAACATGTCCATCTAAGCAAGGAAAGGATACCAAGCAAGGAAAGGATACAAACATCCATCAGGTCCATACTGAGTAATATCACAACATTATCAATACAACCTTGTTTGAAAGCATAGCTTTCAAAACATGGAAGATGATGTCAATGCTCTCATACATTTCATGCTGAGTTGTGTTACCCACCAGGAAGCTCACAGGGAGTTCCTGGGACCTACCATCCACTTTGTGAGGGCTCAAACCTACTTATCAGATGTCAAATGACCAACTGGTGACTATCCAGGATGGCTCTGCATCCCCCAGAGGATCGAGTTTAAGATCCTCGTCCTTACTTTCAAAGCCCTCCACAGTCTTGCTCCTCCCTAACTGTGGGACCTACTAACTTCATACCAACCTTTCTGCTCCCTCTGCTCAGTGGGCCCTGGCCTTCTCCATGTCCTATGCTCTGCCCACTCCACCATTAGCAGTCAGGTCTCCAGCCTTTCTGCCCACCTTCTGGAACCCCTTTCTTGAATCCCTTCACCTTGCCCCCTCACTTGCCTCCTTCATGGCTCGTCTCAAGAACTTCCTTTTTAATTGTGCCTTTAGTCATCCTCCCACCCCCATCGGCCCCATTTTATTCCAACCCCCAGCTCAGGTGCAAACCCTTGACTGTCCAGCACCTTGGGACATCATCCCGATGTGAAAGGCTCACACACTATAAAAGCACTTTTTGTGGTTGTTATAGATCACGCTGTGTTAACAGCCAATTTAGTGGTTAGTAAGTTTAGATATGTGACTAATAATTCTGTAAAGTCGTTTTTATTGCTATGTTTATGATGACAGAGTTAATAAAAGTATGTTTGCAATTTGGTATTTCATAAAAAGATATATTGTGGTTTGTTAGAATAAAGTGTCAACTCCACAATGACTATAAGGTGAGATAAGGGTTGAATTTTAGTTTTTATTTATCCCTGTGGTCATTTTTAAGAGGCCTGACTGTGACATTCCGAACATTTAAACATGAAGCTGGTATATTTTTACCTTTTTTGGGAGACGTTTGTTTCATTTAGTCAGATCTGTAATATACATCAGAACAGTTAAATATTGCAATCAAAGTTTGCTGTCCTTTGCCCATTTACCGTATTTTGTGTCATTTGGATTGTTTTATCTGAACTTTAATTGGAAAATATTCCTCTTTTGATAGATATTCTGATTTAACCTAATTTTATGATTTGAAAAAGCTGGATTGAATTTGCCAATTATACAAAACAGATGTTCTGCTGTCTTTGCCCAAGACAACCTTTGGAAATCTGCAATCTTAGCCTTTCTGCCTTCATAAGCCTTGCTTGACATTTTGCACATAAGGAAATTACAAATACCAGTAAATGTCAATAGTTTTGAAGCAAGGTTGTTCTTTCATTTGAACCTTTCTATTTCTATGTGATCGGAGCACAGGAATATTACCTATGTTGAATGAATATGCCATAACTTAAAATAGCCTTTTTTCCTATTTAGTGACTTGGCTTAAGAAGAAAATGTCATGGCAAAATGTAATCATATTGCCTTTGATCTATTTCTGTATGGTAAATGTGAGTGCCAAGTTTAACTGCATTTTTTATAAATTAGACTTTTAAAAAAACATTTTGAGTACATAGTTATGATATGACTTAAGGTAAAATTATTGAAACGCTTGGCTGGATGCTAAGACCCTCATTATTATGCTATGATTATATAGTGCTGATGTTGTTATTTTCTCTTTCACAGAAATGTGACCTGGAATAATTTGGCCATCCCAGACACCCACTGCTCACCAGATGGAGAAGGGTATCAATGCCCACGGGGATTTAAATGCATGGATCTTGAAGATCTAGGGCTTACAAGGCAAGAGTTGGGCTACAGTGGATTTAATGAGATAGGTTTGTTATGGTGTTAATTAAATTTTTTTGTAAAGTTTTTTTCATTCAATTTTTCTCAATTTCTCTCTAGAAACGTCACACTATAGTATTGTTCCATTGGTGTTTTTTCCATTTTGCTCTTTCCAGTGGCCATACTGTCATGTATAGTGAGCATTGACAGGCTAGTCAGTCATTGGAGGGCATCAGAACCAAGGCTGATCAGTTTTCCATTCAACATTCTCACTGTTGCTGGAATGACTGAAGCTGGGACATTTGAAATTCAATGCCCCAACATGACAGTGGATTTACCTCTGTAATAAAGGAGAGAGGCAAGCATATAAGGTGTGGTTTCCAGTTGAAATAGAACCACAGTTGGCATAATTTTCCATAACAAATTATGTGGCCTGCATACTAAAATGGTAAGGAATGATTATACTGCTGTAACTATTATCATCCATGGCAACCGATATGAGGATACAATCTGTTTGTTTCAAATTATGATCATCAACTGTTTTTGGACAGCCCTTTCATTGGGACAGAACATTAGCTTTTACAAAACAGACTATGATCACAGTTTAATTGGTGAACTGAGTTTCCATTAAAATGAAAATTATATAGCTCACAGAAAACAGAGTTAAATGAGCTAGTATTCTTTTTTAGTTTCATTGTTTCTTCTCGGTTCATGTTGGATTTCATGAGATGTTCATTGTAGTAGAGATAAAAAAAAATTCCTGTTGCATTAGGAATTCCAAAAGGAAAGTGAATAGTGTGAATTAATGGCATTGTGAACTGAAAATTAAGCACTTATGCTGGCATACTAATACTCATTTTATTTGCGGTTGTGTGGATGCTTACTTAATAACAATCAACATATGCTTAAAAAGAAACAATATTTAATTTTTTTATTGCATCAACATTGTAAAGTAATACAAACAGCATTCAGCAAGAACCATAGAGGTGTGAAGAGGACATAACAAAAAATTGCAAAATGATTTAAATGCGTTACGCAAACGGGGAAAATACATGCCGAAGGAACAGAAGATAGAAATGCTTTCTAAATGGGTAAATACTAATAAGGGGTGCATAAAACTTCAGGGTGCTCTTTCTCTCATTACAATTCTTTTGATCTCTCTAAAATTATGAAGCAACTCTCATGGGATTCTTTGAAGTTTCTATTAGTGTAGTTTACATGAAAGTCATATCTTTAAACACAGATTAAAGTTTTCTTTTAGAAAATAACATTATGGGATATACTACATAGGTAGTTTGGGACATAAGTGCAAGGAAGGTGGAAGGTGAACTAGATGGACCTTGGTTATTTTTGTCCAGAATTTCTTATGTTCTTATCTGTAAAATCACCTGAACCAGAATTCCCTATAACAGCCAAGTAATGCATAGCTCAGACTCCTGCACCATCACTGCAGCCCCAGTAGCATACAAATGGAGATTATGGCAACCAGGTGCAGTGATATTGGCTTATATGTATGATCACTGCCTGGAAGTGCAGCAAATAATGCTCGGGTTCAGTATAAAATAGTTTAGTTACGCACTAATCTGGTAACTCTCCATCCTCAAATTTGCTCTATTTAACTTACAAGATGAATTTACAACAACAACAACTTGGATTTATCTAGGTCCTCCACACCGGACGGCGTCTCAGAGCGCTTCACAATAACAGATCCCAGCGCCGGGGGAGGGGGAAGAAGGTGACCCAAGACGCGATCGAAAAGAAAGGTCTTTAGCCGAGATCTGAACATAGGAAAAGAGGGAGCGAGACAAAGGGAGTGAGGAAGGGAGTTCCAGAGCCTCGGGGCATAGTGGCTGAAAGCACGGCCGCCGATGGTGGAGTGGAGGACGAGGAGGAAGCCAGACAACGGAGGAACAAAGGCAATGGGCACTGTTGTGAGGAGAGAGGAGGTCAGAGAGGTAGGGAGGTGCAGAGGAGTGGAGGGATTTGAAAGCAAGAGTAAGGATCTTGAAATCGATCCTCTCTGGGACAGGCAGCCAGTGCAGTCCGGCAAGCACTGGGGTAATCGAGGAGTGGAGTTTGGTGCGAGTAAGAATACGGGTGGCAGAATTCTGGATGACCTGGATTTTATGAATGATAGTGGAGGGGAGACCGGCGAGGAGAGCATTTGAATAGTCCAGCCGAGAGGTGACAAAGGCATGGACCAGGGTTTCGGCGGCTTTTAGGGTGAGATATTGGCGGAGAAGGGTGATGCGTCGGAGGTGGAAGAAAGCGGTGCTGGTGAGGGACCAGATGTGGGGGAGGAAGGATAATTGGGGGTCAAACCTGACGCCTAGGTTGCATACAGGTTCGGAGAGTTTTAGGGGCAGGTCGGGTAGGTGGAGGAGGTGAGAATTTAACTATACCAACAGCAATAGAGATTCAGTGCATTCACAAACTCATGCATGTCTAGTTGCTTCAAAGTTGCTTCAAAGTTCAGTTCATTAATTTATTTTTCTGGCCCCTTTCTTGCACCCTTTCTGTCATGACAGGTGGGTGAGAGGTGGTGATACAGAGACTGCATGTTACTTCTGTAGCTGATCAAAATCGGCTAAATTTATACTCATTTGCACACAGCTTTTACTATTAATATCAAGCATTCCAGGTGTTCCTGATTTTCCACTACAGCACATTAAATTATCTTTGGGATTATTCATATCTTTAAAAATATCTAATAGAGTAGACGGTTAAAGATAGAACAAGATCAATCATTTCATGTCAACGGGGTTCTCTTCCAATTCTATTCCAAATTTTAATTGGCTGCCATGGTATTTCTTAGGATAATTCTCTTTCACATTGACAAACAATCAGGTGAAATTAATTTGAATAAGTTAGTACAGGTGCGCTCCCAACATGGAAAAACTTTACTGCAGTTCAAAGCGTTTAATCTAAAGCAAACCTTTGACTATTTAATGTATTTATGGCAGCACAGCAAGAAAAGCAAGATTCTACCTTATAACAAAGCTACTTTTTATGTAAATCCTATATCCTACATCCTACATGCAGCGCCTTGGGACGTCCTCCTGACGTGAAAGGCGCTTTATAAATGGAATCTTGTTGTTATGTTGTTGTTGTTTTAGTTTAAATTTCTTTGGGTATATTTTGTGACTTTCACACTCTGATTCTGACTTTTATAGTCCTATTTCCCATGTTTATTTACTGTAACTTACTTTAAGACTCAATATTATGATTAATTTGAAAACATCTAGAGCTTCTCAATATTGGACCATTTGGTAGTGTCTTTTTCCCTTTAATCTTTTGAATTATTAATTTTAGGAGGTGATATTAAAACCACCCTCATGCAATTTGGCACTTGTGTGGATTCCTAGAAAAAGTCTTCTCACAAAAACTGGAAATTGAAAATCTCATTATAAAGATGTAGCAAAAAAGTTTCTATTTTTAGGCATCATTGTGAAATTGAGACTGGTGCAAAAAGAAGTGCAGATAACATTGTAGCTGCTTGGTTCTATGTGTGTACCTATTTTTAAAGATTTTGGGGCCATGCAAAAATGCAAATTGCTAAAGAATAGTATTTTTGAGTATTTGCAGAAGCATGAAATATGGGGGCATTGTATCACAACTCTCTCATAATGAACGTCAACACACATTTTTTCCTCATGTAGAAAATAATTTTGCATATAAAAGTTAGCCATACCGTGTTTGCAATGTGTGATGTTTGCATACAGTATGTACTATTTTATATGATCGGGCTCAAAACACAGACGTGAGCTGTGTATTAGGTATTTTGGATGTAATGAAAATAGATCTTGGAAAAAATATATATATAATGCAACAATTTGTGTTGATATCTACTGCGGTCAGTTACTGGAAATATGACATTGAGTTTGCCATGAGGTAAATTGATAGAAAGAATCCACAACTGTTGAAACCTTTAAAGTGAATGACATATTTCAATGGTAGTTGTGCGTAACCCAGAAGCTACTTTGTAAATGCTGTTCACTAATTCAGCCATTTAGACAAGCTAGGGCTCTTCAGTCTTGAGAGAAGACAACCTCATAGTTGCATAAAATTTTAAATGGGCTTGAAAAAGCAAGCCTAGATCAATACTTTAGAAAGCATCAAGATAGTAGAAAAATAGGTCATAGATTTAGAGTTGTAAAGGGCAATTTCAGGACAGAAAGTTTCTCTTTATGCAGAGTACAATCAACAACTGCAACAGATTGCTGGGAAAGGTGGAAGATTCATCTTAAACATTTTATTAATCAGCAGCTTCATAGTGGGAGCCTAATCTGCCACATGACATTAAATAGCAGTGTTACACAGTGGAAGAGGATATTAAGCAATGGACTTGTGATCGTTTTGGATTCGGAGGGCGAAGCGAGGACAGCATGGGGAGGAGCCGAGACCTAGTGAAGGGTATAAAGCATAGCCGAGGTAAGCAGTCGTTGATTCGGAGGGCAGATCAGAGGATCTGGAAAAAAAGACAAGTGACATCAACGTAACGTCACACTCAAACAACAGAACCAGAGAAAAACTAAAAATGAAAACTAAAAATTACTAAAAAAAACACTTAAATAAAAACCATAATACAGAGTGAGAGAGAGAGGAGAGAATGGCATTGCAGGTGTTGTGCGATGACTGCAGTATGTGGGAGTTGATGGAGGGCAGCTTGAGCCCGGGTGACTACATCTGCAGCAAGTGTCTGCAACTGAGGAAGCTCCAGCTTAGAGTAGCTAAACTGGAATCCGAAGTGCAGACATTGCGCAGCATTAGGGAAGGTGAGAGCTTCCTGGATAGTTTCATCCAGAAAACAATCACTCCCCTGAGGCTCAGTAAATGTATAGATCCTGCTACTAGTCAGGGATAGGACAGTGTGACTGACAATCAGGCAGGTAAGGGGACCCCAGAGAGAGTGGTGGAGAAGTCTCAGGCTTTAACCTTGTCCAACAGGTACGAGATACTTGCAACCTGTGTGGACAAGGAAGTCTGTAAGGAGGAGGATGGGCAAACTGACCCCAGCACCTCTATACAGGAGGCCACACAAGTGGGGGGA